CCTCCCTCCCTCCCTCCCGTACTGTTCCAATTTATGGTTTCCTTACGCTTCCTTTATGGTTCTCCACACATCACTTCATCCATTCAAATATTACCTAATAATTACTGTTGAGGTTCTTTCAATTCTCCTTTTTAGCGTTGGCGGTGTACCTCTTCGAAGAACTCTCATTAAAATTTGAAAAAGAAGTTTAAAGTTCGTATAATTCAATTAAACCCACCAAAAGAGCACTGAAGGAAAAGTGAGCGCATCTCTGTGCAGAAACACGGTCAGTACAATTTAATTTGTTTCCTTTAGGAAGTTTCCAATAAGGTTCATTGTCAGTGCTGTTCGGCAGTCTACCCCTCCTGATTAGGGTTGGGTGATGATGGTAGAAAAGGAAAGAACCAACTCGGTACAGATCGATGACTGCCAACGAACGTCAGCAAACTTTTAGTGCTACCTCCAAATACACTGGTTACTTGTGAGATGAGCCAAATCCAATCAAATTTTCCATTTTCAATAAAACTTTCCATATTAAAAAATAACTAGGTGTATTTTGAACACTGGACTGGACCAAACTTTTAACTTTCATCTGGTACATTGCCATTGAACACCAAAAAGCAGGGTTGAGACGCCAGTTTGAGCTATACTTATCTCCTTTGAGTTTTATGATCTGACAAAACATTCAAACACCCTGAATAAAGGATTGATGCATGGCGCACTCTATCAGAATTGATTGTTCACGTGATCGACGCCCTTGAAGAGACTCCCAACTAAAGTAAAAAAAAAGGATAGGGACATATAATAATGCAATCATATAAATATCATAATCATATACAGTTATTGTATAATAATGTGATAAATAATGATAATTAGTAATAAATTAGTGTATAATAACAGAGTATTATATGATGATATGATATCATAATAGAACAGTTTGGCTTAACGTAAGTGTACAGAATGATGTAGTACAGATAGCACACAGTTAATTAAAATTACAAGTATTGCACCTTGCGATTGCAGTAGTCTAGTTTTAGAAAGGGAGCTGACTTGTTCATTCAATTCACTGGGCTTGGGTGGATTGTACTGCTGCTGTACTTTATGTATGTACATACAACACCCACGCCATGGTTCATGACCTCCCTCTGTGCCCTTCTAATCGTTTGCTCTTAAGTTTCTATGAATTTCACAATTTTCAAACCCTCTGACTTTGGCAGAACTCCATCTGACGCTCCGAACGGCGTAGATTGTGCTGTTTAGTCAAAGTTCTCGGAAACTCGATGACGGGGGCTTGTTACCTTAGTATGCGACATGCCAAATACATGGACTACACTTCAATTCTAGTTTTCAAAGTCGCCACTCAAAATCAATTATTGTAATCTGAATTTTCGTCCAAAACTGTTCGCCCCCAAGCGATCTGATTTTCATCAGGAAAACGTTTCCGAAGTTGAAAGAAGAGCTCTTCTTGAATTCCTATTGCTTAGGTGAATTCCTTGGGTCCAATGACGGAAAAGGATTGAAGTGGCACAGTTATTTCGGAGGTAAGGTCCACATAAGTGCATTCAAATGCAAGATTTCAATGTTTACCTCCAGATGTACCTGCAGTACATATCATAAGTACGCTACTGTACAAGTAACGTAGCTTGAGGTAGTGAGGAATGCCCCCTACTATCAGTTTACCCCATACCCGCTCTTTGAAACTATTCGACGCAATTTCAGGGTCCAAATGAAAAATGGAAAACCAAGTTCCTCCGTTGCTGAAGCTGTCTCCAGTTCGAAACAGGGCATAACACCCTAACTTACCAAAATCCTTTTTCCAAATTGGCAGATAATCATGCACAGGCTGAAGACACTTTTAGATTTCACTTACTATTTTGGAAACAAATTTAGTTGTAGAGGGATCAAATGCCCAGTATACTGGACAGGTGTGCATGCACCCTGCTCAAACTCTAAAAAAACCATATTTCACGCCAGAACTCGATACATGTGACTTTGAAATGGCGCAGTTATGCAGTGTTTTACTGTGTGGCCATTTTGAATTAGACAGGGGTAGACGTCCAATGTGACAAATGACAAATGAGTACCAGTAATGTTAGCAATTCTCCAAATGGGATGGGATAACACGTCAACCCGTAAATCAGTGAACTAAAATTCCACAAAATCGTCTTTTACCCAATGTACTTTGGGAAAAGGTATACCTCATACCATTTGCGACTGTGATAAATATAATTCGACAAGATTTATTTCTAGGCGAATGATGGGATGTTGTGTGAAGCGGCGCTCACACGCTGACCCCAGACCAAGTCACCGATCGATATCCACCCAACCCAATCAAGCCATCTTTCATTTCAGTTTAGGTCAATTTGTACCAAACTCGCATGGGTAGATAAAAGCACTGACTTGTGCATCCGCTGACCATATCAGGCCATTACACAAGTCACACGCCCGTTTAAATTCCTTTACGGTTCTGAATGAGAGTGGATGGGAGGCCCATCTCAAGTGGGGTGGATCAACGCCAAAAACTTTGTCTTTCTCTCACGGTAAAATTCAACATAAGTGAACATTATAATATTAAAATCCCGATCTATTGGAATGGTTGAAATAGCGTTTTG